AAAATTAAACAAAAACGGATATTAGATGAAATTGTAGCACCTGAAATTACGTTGACACATCTTACATGTAGCAAGGAGCAAACGGTGGGAAGGCAAAGGGTAGAACCGTATATTAACTTGATTAAACTTAAACTCACCGCCGCTATAACATCCTCCGTTGAGAAAACATGTTGATAACTTCACTTTCATTGATGAAACCGAAACACAGACAGAGAATTCACACACACATAGATTGTGAGATAGTGTGTGAGAAAGAAATTGAGTGTTCCTCGATACAAGGAATCAAATGTAACGGTTGCTTAGGACCAACGGCTACTTATAGACTGAGTAACGTTCAAAAAGAGTAAGTTATATATCCTCTTCTCTCAGGCGATTTTTCGAATCTTTTCGAGAGGTTATTATACGGTATATCATAGTGCAAGGAAAAGTAGGTGGACTGGGATAGTTGACACGTGTTGGATATCAATGGCTACGAAACGTGGGGTCCACATTGGCTTTGTGCGAGACATTTTTTTGGAATAAATTTCTTGTACATAGCTCAAAAAGTTGATAAAAATTTAATACATGTTTGGCTCCATTTTAATTTAATGTATTTTTCTCTTTCTTTATTTTTAATCACAAGTTCTTCAATAAAATAATATTGCACGTAAACCTAAAAAAATTTCTTACATTTTATCCAGACGTTCTCCAAAAATTATTATTTCAAAATATATTTTCCTTAAAACCTCATTAAAATGAAGCCCAAACAATGGCTTAAGTTAAAGTTACATATTTCAAAATACTTACAATTTTTATTAATTTTTTAACTATACATTTCATCAACTTCTGTCAAAATCTATTAGAAATATGATTTTTAGCTAACACAAACAGGGCAAAACAAAGGGTCGAGAGTACACACGTTGCACCTTGGTCTCTATTCTTCAAAACCGAGCATTTATGTCCTCAATTTTTAATATTAGTAGCACTTTAGTCCTTTGAAACCATTTTACCTTAATCTTAAGTTAGCAAGCCAAAATTTTATTAGAAAGACAGTTTTATCCTTATCTTCAAATAAATAAATAAATTAAATAGAAAGTAATAATGATAAAAAAAATAATGTATTCCTTATCTCCAAGCCCACATCAAAATAATAGGATTATAATAGTTGTGATAGCGGTGAGGTGGGGCAGGGCAATAGGCATGTAGGAAAAGAAGAAGAATTTATTTTGTTTTCATACAAATAAATTCTAAGCAATTGACTTCTCTAAAATTTATTTTCCTTCCATGCTCGCAATCAAACTTACCCTTTAGAGTGTGTTTGGGACACATTCTTTTAAAAGAATGTATTATTGAATAATAGATAATTTAATGTATTTTTCTCTTTCTTTATTTTTAATCACAAGTTCTTCAATAAAATAATATTGCATGTAAACCTAAAAAGATTTCTTACATTTTATCAAACCTAAAAAGATTTCTTACATTTTATCCAGACGTCCAAAAATTATTATTTCAAAATATATTTTACTTAAAACCTCATTAAAATGAAGCTCAAACAATGGCTTAAGTTAAAGTTACATATTTTAAAATACTTACAATTTTTATTAATTTTTTAACTATATATTTCATCAACTTCTGTCAAAATCTATTAGAAATATGATTTTTAGCTAACACAAACATGGGCAAAACAAAGGGTCGAGAGTACACACGTTGCACCTTGGTCTCTATTCTTCAAAACCAAGCATTTATGTCCTCAAATTTTAATATTAGTAGCACTTTAGTCCTTTGAAACCATTTTACCTTAATCTTAAGTTAGCAAGCCAAAATTTTATTAAAAAGACACTTTTATCCTTATCTTCAAATAAATAAATAAATTAAATAGAAAGTAATAATGATAAAAAAAAATTTTTTGTTCCTCATCTCCAAGCCCACATCAAAATAATAGGATTATAATAGTTGTGATAGCGGCAAGGCGGGGCAGGGCAATAGGTAGGTAGGAAAAGAAGAAGAATTTATTTTGTTTTCATACAAATAAATTCTAAGCAATTGAATTCTTTAAAATTTATTTTCTTTCCAGGCTCGCAATCAAACTTACTCTTAGGATCCGTTTGATTACAAGAGTGGAATTTGAGTGGAAAGAAAATGAATTCTAAGGAATTGAATTGTCTAGAATTGTTTTCCTGAAAATTGTCAATTAATTGTATTTGATTAGCATAATTTTTCACATAGAAAATATTGAAATTTTGGATTTTTTGGTATTCATTTGGCTTTATTTTACATGAAAAATTTTCCATTAAAGGGATAAAATTTATTACAATTGTGGATATAATTTATTTCCATTGTTAAAAAATAAAAATAAAAAAGTTGAAAACCATTTTCTCACCAAAGTGTTGATTTTGGTGGGAAAACCAATTTAATGAAAACCAAGAAATGAGGTCACGTGGGAGGGTTGGGGGGGGAAATCAATTCCAAGGAATATTTTGTGCATCAAACAATGTAAAAGATGAAAAATGGAAAATGATTTTCAAGTTCCATGAAAAATTGGGGATATCAAACAAGGCTTTAAGTGTTTTATTTAGTTTTTTGGTTTATTGAAAAAAATAATTAGATACTTGAGTTAAATTGTCCAATGGGAACCTATGGAAATGTAAAAAGTAAATACTATCACATTCATATTTACCCATAAAAAGTGCCTGTAATAATTATCCAAGATATTTCCTTATATATTACTTATCTCTAAATTGTGGATTAACAACTCGTGAGATTATGAGGGAGAATTTGACTAATACAAGCGTGGAAAGCCCACAAACAAAATGTTCCCCTTTTTTGTGACTGCTTTGCTTTGTCTATCTTCAAACACAGAAACTGGACATATGTTCTTTGACTGTAATGGCAAGTGATGTTCCACAAAATTGTTGGACACCAACTCGTTCACCAGTAACTTTCCTGTTGTCCATGCAAGCTTACCAAAATATTTTTCATCATATATGTGCAAACCATACAGTTTTTTTTGTTAAAGTGCAGGCTCAGTATATGAAAAGGGATAGTTATACCCACAAAGAGTAGGAATGGCAAACAAAGGATCGAGAAAAAGTAAAGTGTGTATTTTCAGGGGAATATTATCCTCTTTGACATTATCTTGAGCATACAAATCAGCCCTTGGTCTATATGAGGATCTATATAATCTAGATTAAATTCGTACCTTTTTGTAATTCTTCGTCAAAGGCAAAAACTTAGTTGCTCTATGGTACACTGAATGTTTTGAAATCAATCTCAGGTAAGTTAGGTTGTGTTTCTGGTAATTCAAAGTAGGTTAGAATTATTTTAATGGTTGTGCCAAATATACACAATGGTTTACATACACTGTGTAACTCCCCAAAAATTTTACAAACATTGGAGTGTTTCCGAAATTTCAATTTCCTTGCGGAACGATAAAATAGTATTCTTTAAATAAAAATAACTGGAATATCCATAATTTCAAATATGAAAACATAACCAAAAATTTAATAACTGTTTTCGAACAAATAAAACTAACTAATAATTTAAAAGTAAAAAAAAATAAACTTAATGTTTTATCTCTTCAATTCCTCTTGACAGTCGCATTCACCATTCCGCTACTGTTCCAATCGATCCAAACTAACCTATAAAATTTTATAAAAGTGAGTATTTAAAAACATACTTAGTAATATACGTGCAGTTTTCATACACAATTATATAACAATAAAACAAACACTTCATATCACTCTTCTCTTATAGAGTATATCGGTGACCAAGCATCGCACCCATTTTAGGTTCTTAAATTCTCGTAGGATCCCATATCTTTTAATAAAGAACTCAAATGTCCACTATCAATTCATGCATAAATTACTGAATATAAAAATATGAGGAAACAAACAACTTGAACAAAAATATCTCACCTTGATTCATCAAACAAGCTTTTGAAAAAAATATACTAGGAACTGCTTTATATGAAAGCTGCCATGTAAAATTCTTTGTTGGTGAATTGTGCGATAATTACACACTGTTTATAATAAAAAAATATATATAGTGGTTGAGTTATGGTACAATTGAAATAGAAAATCGTATTTATCAAATTGAATAAAAATTGATTTTTTATTAAACAATTCATAATATGACATGTGTACATAAAACATATCACAATAAAATGTGATTCTAATCTCAATAGTAATAGCGACGGCGACTTTTGACTTCAAATAAAATTCTAAAAAATATCTCACATCCATACCTTCGATACAAGTGGCTATCTCTCATCTAAATTCAATTTGATTTAAAATAAATAAATAAATATATTACAATTTCTTTGAAATTCAATATCTTGAAACTAACTTATCCAAATTAACTGTTTCTCGAGCCTAATTTGCATGATTAATTACGAGCTATCCAATGAACCCCATATTGATTAACTTTTCGTCACTTTAACAATATCTAAAAAAATTAGCCCAAATTTGAAGTTAATACAAATATTTAGTCCCATTTTTCAAAATAATAAAAATATACTATATAAAACAAATAAAAATTTATTCTAAAATTTTCGGGGTGTTACACACTTGATGTAGTAAGATGTGATTTGGTCAGAATTTCTTCAACCAAATAAAAAAATACACAAACATCCCTACTCTCTTTTTGACATATCGTCTGTATATAAATCATTATGTAACTCCATTATGTACAGATAGCATTATTCTTATTTTAATTGTCAATTTAATTTGTTCCCATTGGAGAACATGATACTGTGAATCAGAATATATGGAGTTCATACTATTTCATTCTTGGAGAGATTTATAAATACTTAACAGAGTTTCTAAACTCGACCGTGAGATGCAAAACCGTATGGCGCCCCACACAATCAAAATATATAGTCTACATTCCTTTTTTTGTCTAAATTTTACCCATTCCATCCGTATTATCAATCAGTTCAATTGTCCTATTATCAACATATATCTTGTACATAAGCTGTGTATATCATGTGCAATTCATTAGTAAAAGGCTTAAATCAGTTACCATTAATGAGGGATTCGAAGAAGAATGAATGAAATGGAATATAAACACCCACAGATGGAAGCTCCCGCAACAAAATTGTAAAGTAGCTTCTTATTGTCTCTTGTGGGTATGAAAGCTGACTTCAGTGTGTTGGTCAGCTCAAAAACCCGATATGATACCTATACCATTAGACAAAAAGCAAAAGAAAATGTCAAAGGGAAAAAAAATAAAATATCAGTTAGTAACTTCAAGTATTTTATAATCCAAAGATGAAGTTAAGATTCAAACTCACCAAGATGTAAATGGCAGTTGTCAGCATGAAGTTAAGCAAAGGATAATTTGGGATCAAAGAAAGTAGCCATCTAGGCTGTCCGTTTGGCATGTTTGACCTGCACAAGAATAAATAGAAACTGATGACACCTCCATTAATTTAGCTTCTATTGAATTTTCTTGTTCGTTATGCCATGCACAGGAACCCTTAAAAATTCAAGAATAGGACGCTTTTGCAACTCTCATGATCTCTTTATAAGTTCATCGGGTTAGATTTAAGCTTCTACATTGTAAAATGGCAGAAGAATAGATTTGAAATAAAATTGGCAATATTTTGTTGCATCTATAGTATGGTACATGCCTAATCACAGAAACTGTTCTATTCGTACACATATTTTAAGAATCGAATAAAATAGAAATTTATAAGTCAATAACTATATATATGCCTGGATCAATTGCAAGTATTCATTGGAAAGAAAGGGATGGAGACCATAGAACTAGAATATAAAACCAAACATGTGAAATAGGATAAAGAAAGTGCACTCACCTTAGCCAGATGTGAAACTGGGAAATATAGGTTTCCAAAGTAACTTTGCCAAGCCACCTGATAGCAAGAGTGCGCTTTCATGCCACTTGTGCAATTGAAAATGCTATGAATTTTTAATTACTTAAAATCGAAACGATATAGAACTTACGCAAAAAGGGTCAATGAAAAATTCCGGAGCTGCTGACAAGAATTCCGCAAACAAATATAAACACTGGGGAAAAGAGAAGCAAACAATGAAGGAGATCTTTGAAAAAACTGTCAGGATAAGTCTTGTTACACATCAATCTCAGTTAAAGTTATTTTTAATAGCAATTCTTCCTACCAAAAAGGACACAGGTGACATCATAAAATGAGAACGAAGAGTTAGGACAAATCAATACAAAACTTCTGGACATACGTTATGGGAATCCATGACGTGTATGGATGGAGCTTGATGTATGTAACCCTGTCCAACTTGTATATAAATTCATACCACAAATAGCCAACCTAAAATCATTAGAAAGTAATCAGACAACGGAATTTATAAAACAATCAGCTAAATCAGCTAAAATACAAACAGATATCTTGCTCTTATTTTGAGTTCAATTTTGTGACTTACAATTGAGGAGACTATCACAACCAATGTTTTGATTGAGCGTCTCCACTTCACATCACACTCCTCCAGTTTCTCCATCCACTTCTCAACCTTCAATGAAATAATCACTAGAATTTAAAAACTCATCAACCGAGAAAAACTGCAAAAGTACAATGTTTTAGGACTGTACATTGGGGTGAAAATAGGCGTAGATCATTCCAATGATCCAGATATAACGGTCAAGCCCAGATCTAAAATGCCATTCATGCAGTCGAGGAAGATTCGGTTTTGCAGGATCAGTATATCCTGCCATTGAGATGAATAACTATCAGGCATTTAAGGCTTCAAACCAAAAATGGAAGTCTAACCCTGAATTTCACGGTCTCTCGGCAAGGATTAATATTTTTCAGGACAAAGCAAAACAAAACAAAACAATGGAAATCAATTGGCTGTAGTATGGTAACAAGGTCAATGATGAGTACATACCTAATAGAAAAGTGAAGGGACTCCAAACCAGGTCAAAAACTCCAGGAATTTCCCATACCAAGATAACCACGAGAAAGCACATCAAAATTTTAAGAACCATTACTGATTTTATCTCATTATAGTTGTGGCCAATACCAAGGGTCCCATACACCATAAGAGTGAAGATCGTGTGCATTGGACAGATGTAGTATAGCATATAATCATTGTTAAGAACAATACAACAAAATGCCACAAAAAAGTTTAGCCTCCACATCGTCTGCATGAAGAAGATAATCTGATTAGAACTCTCACAGAAACTAAAAATTGTGAAAAGCAAAGTGCCAGCTTAGTTTTGTGGTTCAGACAGAAATAGTAAAATACAGCGCGACGTTTCACCTGAGCGAACCGTGCAACACTATAATCTTTTCTAATGTAATAATAGGAGAAATTTCCGAAGCCAGTCATCCAAACATAAGCAGCAATGAAAACTCGAATTGCATTGTATATCTCCGACGCAGCAAAATAATGGTACATTAAAAACAGAACCTACAAGAAACATAAGAAAGTGGCATGTGTCATAAAGTTTGCGTGTAGAGAGAGTATAGCAGCCACGCCGTGCATTGTAAATGTCAATTACAGATATTCTGTGGCTGCTGAGAGGAAGCTAAATGGTAGTCAAGTGCAGGAAAGATACCTAACTTCACAAGAAACAAAATATGGGGAAGGAGGATATAAAAGAAGCAGCTAAGCTTTAACCTTGTCCTAATTATTTACAAATCATTAACGTGCTTCAATGAATATTTTGCGAGAAAAACACTTGCCTGCATCCATCCTTTCCACTCCTCAGTCTGATGGCGATTAAGATAAAGTATAGATTTCCCAAAAAATGCTGACTTGTCAGTATGTTTCTTCAGAGAAGTAATTGCTGACGTTATGATAAGAAGAATGTAGAGAAAAAGGAAAAGATCGCGATTGTAGCTCTGCTCAAAGAGGAAAAAGGCCAGACAAAAATTAATTAGGATATATAGCAACAAAGAAAATATAACGTAACGCTGATCATCAAATCCTATATATGCATTTGTAATGTAAAATATTGTTAAATGAAGAAGATAAAGCTGAAATGCATTTGATCGAATTTTCTCCATGCAAAGTAGGAAAAAATCTGATTTCTGAAAGAAGTCAGAAACATGAAGGGCACCTTGGTGGAATCCGGAAACAAGTTTGTACGGTCACATATGTAAAAGTAGAATAAAACTCCACCAAACTCAGACCTGCATAACATTGTGGTACTGTTTAATGGAAAATGAAATAGAACCTTCATGTAACACAATCAACATAATCAAACAACTCACGTTGCTCTCAAAATTTGTCGATTTTCAAGCAAAAATGAGTGATGCATCGTCAGAAACCTAGAAAATGAAGAAGAATAAAGGTAAGAAAGCCAAAATGAGCATGATCCAAAGGGAAACCCACACAGAGATACTGAATATTAAACATAAGATTGACCTAAATAAGTTTGTTTTAATTGATGGAGTGGACAAATTTGTGGAGGCTGATTTTGTAAGACCTCCTTCCGACAACACAGCTCGGTCATCTTCCTTTATTGAGGCATTTTCCATTTCAACCAGATTACTATCCGAATGACTGCAGCCCAAACAAGTAAGCCACTGAGTATGAGAAAATGTTTCATAAACAATTTGATTTTTCTCTCGTGATTCATAGAACATTGAGTGCTTCTTGAACAGACAATTGCTGCTCTGCTTCTAAAATTGCATAGCTTGGTATATCAAAATATCAAAACAAATATTCCATAACTAAAGAAGGTAAGGGACAGAAAGGGGAAATGAGCTTACAATTTAGATGGGGATGATGACTTCTTATACTCCAAGCACTCAGAGTATATCCATGCAATAAAAACTGGGATGATTCCAAGCAAAAATGACACCTGGGATATCATAAGAAAGGTTTCTCTTTATATGTAGTTGAATTGTTGAAGGATAGTTTTGAGGTTTCACAAAAGGTAGAAGATGCCACAGAAAAGAGATTGCCACTGGACTCAAATTATCATACAAGGCATTTTATTCCGAGTAAACTTGAAAGCAAAATCTGAACTGAACTGCCCTTTCCACTTTCTCTCTCGTTAAATGAAGATTCTTTCCATCCTATAAATATTAAGATATCTATAATACGGTATTAAAGCAAAATACTGATCATCAGACTGAGCTTCACTCTGATGAAATTTCTATTCTATTGAAATATTGCCACAGTGAAAAATCAATGAAATTTCTTTGAGTCGTCACTATAGATCTTGAAGTACAGGATACATTTTCTAACTGAAAATAATACTTCAATTCCAGTTTCTTCTCAATGAAAATTGACTCAATAAACTAATCCAATCATCACTGCTCAGTGGTAAACCTTCATTATATACCTACATATTATCATAATAAACAGAACAGATTTCTAACTCCAAGGCATAGAATGTTTTGTTAGCGGTAAATTGCATACCAAAATTACTTGAAAAGTTCAACTACGGCCAACATAAAAATCCAATTCTGCATTTCAGTGATCCGATAAAAGATCACATTCACCGCCATTGCCAAAAAAAATAATTATAATTATAATAATAATAAATTACAAATAAACGAACTGAAAATTTTTTTTGTAGATATCGGAATCATACCTGTCCCGGTGTCACAGGTCCAGAAACCACCGCCATTACCTCGTGAAAATCGAAAGATCCAATATACCAATGATTTAAAACGTAAATCTCAAAAATTATGGTACATCAAGTAAATAAGCACCACCACAATGTAAATATACACTTGTGTATCCCGTATTTATACAATGGGTACAGCAAGGAAATATATTATAAGAAGGAATTAGCCCTAAAAGGGAAACTAAATCAGAGATCTGAAGCAACATACAAGCAATTGAAGAATAAGAAGAATAGGAAAGAGAGAGAAGAGTGGAATCGGCGAGTCGATGTAACGTCGTCTTATGCTTCGGTCGAGACGTCTCTCTTTTTTCTTTCAAACCAACTGTCAATGGTAGTTGCTGTGTTGTTTGATGGAGGAAAAGTTCAATCGAAAATGGTTTCAGCCAAATTCCAGGTTTGATTGGCTAAATGTTCTTGCAATTCAATTTTGGCCTTATGCTACACGTGCCCAAATCTTGGTTTTGGAGGAATTCACTTTTCCATTTTTGGTGGGAAAATAGTTCCCACCCTCTTTTTGTAACGGTAACAAATTCTATCTCAAAGAAAAAAAAAATTCTTTAATGGATAATTTTCATGAAAAATAAAATTAAATGAATACCAAAAGATTCAAAATTTCAATATTTTTCAGGTGAAAAATTATATCAATCAAATACAATTAATTAACAATTATCAGTTAAATGAATTCTAGACAATTCAATTCTCTAGAATTCATTTTCTTTCCACCCAAATTTCACCATTACAATCAAACGGACACTTACTGTTTCAAATTAAAACATTAAATTCCATGTTATTGAACAAATTAAGAGCATGTTTGGTTAAGTTTAAAATTCAATTAAAATTGTAAATATAGTCATTATTAGGTCTCATTTATCTAATAAAAGTCAATAATAACGACTAGTTTTTTAATTTTAATCTCTACTGAACAAACCCTAAATTATTTTCAATATAATACACTGATCTTCTTGTATTTTGAGCTTAAAAATAAATTAAATTCATATTTTTAAATTAATTATTTTACCAAACAGGCAAATTCCAGCTGCATTCCCAACCTTGGCTAAGCATAACAAAGAGGGTCACCAGCCTTTCATTTATACATTTTGTAAGATTTACAAGTATTACACTAATATCTTTATAAATATTTTCCAAACATACTCTGAATCTAAGGGTTCATTTGATTGGCAAAAGTGGAAAGGCTTTCAAATTCCATGTAAATTGGAAAATAAAAATTCAAGTATCCCATATGAATGCATTTTTCATGAAATTGGCAAAAAAAAAAAAAAAGCTTAAAGTGGTTGTACCTTAAAATTCAAACTTCATTTCCACTTTCGTATCAAACAATCAAAGTAGAAATTAAGTGGTTGTTCTCTTTGTATTTCAATTTTGTGTTTTGAGTTTTGAATTCGTTTTGTGTTTTGTGTTTTGAGTGTCTGTTTTGAAATTTCTAAAAACGCGTTCTTTTTGTCATTCTGAAAAACTGTTTCAGAAAACATAAAAATGGAAAACGCGTTTACTTTGAAATTTTGAGAATTTTTTTATTAATATTTTATTCAAAAAATCTGATTATTCAATAA